AAAAAAAAAAAAAACACTAACTAAACGACAGTTTGAAAACGTGTATCTTATTTGCTCGATAGGTGCTTCTATGTCATTCATTCTTATAACATTTTATCGACTGTACTTACACTGATGTACTCTCAATGCATACAGTTTGCATTTTGTTTTGAGCTTGCACACTCGTGACAGAGTCTGAACAGTGACTGAAAGACAAACGAAAGACAAGGAACATTTTTATTCACATTTTGGTATCTCAGCGTAGTATTCTACACTACAATCACGAAAAATGTGAACCGTATAGACATTCTTATCAATATAACTGAAAATAAGGTCGATTGGAACATTTGTCGGGGCAAAACAAGAGCAAAAAACTCTCGTTTTTGATACGACGGCTAGTCGGGCAGAATGGCGTCCTTGACGAGACGAGGACGGCAGAGAGATGAGTAGTTCTGCGCATGCCCGGTTGAGTAAATTTACTTCCGGTAACCGTCCTAGCTCGTCCCGTCCTGGTATCTTCAAGGTGCCTACTCTATGCCTGAGGACTTCTGGGATTTATAACTTGATAAGTGTTTTGACTGAGGAGCGTCAAATCTGGGCATGTGCCTTATCCCGTCTGATTCATTCAGGTTGAAGCCTTGGCATCACTGCTTGGGTACTTCAGGGATAAATAAAATGCGTATTGTGAGATGAGCATCAAATCTAGGTGTCTGTTTTTATATCCTTTCTTGTTCCTGTACGTGTGTGTCCTGTGTGTATTAAGAAATGTGCATAAGTCTAGCCAAATGTTCTTGAATGCACTTCGTGATGGTATGTTCCTATTATCAGCTTCAGATTTGTCATAGACAGTGGGAACCAGATACCTCAACAAGTGTTTGCCATACGCAAATCTTGTTATTTCAGTAAAATTCCTTAACCCTGACACTCTCCAGCCAGTCATTAATACTTGAGAAGAAGTTGCTGAAAGGTTCCTTGAGCGTAAATACACATGTATTGTTTTTCAATGTCAGTCAGGTTGCTCGTCCCTTTGAAGGTTGTAATCGAAATTTACCGCAATGATACAGCTCAGTGGAATCCCGATTTTTCGAACCTCAAAGGGAAACGAAAATTGGCTCAAAAAGTCGGATAGTTTGAAAAAGACGAGCATCGAGTACGGAAAACGAGCGACGTTTCTCTTCCGACAAGCAGGCGTCATTTACTTAGCCAATGTGAACGTTTCATCGAGGAAAAGAGCTAATAATTAAAGTTTAAACTTGAGGAAGCAAGCGCTAAAAAATAAGAACTTGAAGAAACCTCTGCCAAGATAAGAGACGCAGCTTCCGCGCTTGGAAATACCGGTCAACGCTATGTAATTGTCATGTAAGAAATCACAAAGTTCGCATCTGCCGAGTGGCAAAATGTGAGTCAGTGTTTTCCTGTGGAGAGTTGAGTTGGCATCCAGATGAAAAACAGGAGTTTCAGGAGAAAAAAAAGGGAAATAGCAGTATTAGAAACGGCCACCGCGAAAATAGAACTGGATTTGAACTGGCTTTCTTCCGAGTAAAACTAGTTCTTTGAATAAACACGTAGAGGAAATTTTGCTTGAAAAGTTTCCCCATGAATACCTTCAATATGTTTTAAATTCCTCTATTGATTTCCTATCATTCATTCTGACTAAGTGTAAAATACTAGGTGGAAGATTGTCTTCAACAAGTTTAAGGGATGCAGCTTAGCTAGAAGACGCTCAGTTGATTTTCCATACATTTGTCTTTATTTTTTTTTCCCGCGAACCGCGTCCACCCAGCCAAATTTACAGACAAATGTATGGAAAATTAAAAAAAATTAAACGAGCGTCTTCTAGCCAAGCTACATCCTTTAAACGTTCTGAATACAATCCTCTACCTAGTAGTTTAACGTTGCGATTAATAAATTGAGTAAAATTCAATTTTGGAAAAAGTTATTTGCAATCGGATTCCTACACAAAGACTGTAATTTCTAACCGCTTTGCCTACCCACCAAGATGGCGTCGAGAACCGTGATATGTAGTCTATTTAAGCTCGCAAATCTCACAGACATTTTTCATTGCGACCCATCGCAAAGCCCTTTAAGTTTACCGAAAGAGAGTGGTAATTTAGATCGCAAATCTCACAGATATTTTTTTAACGGCGAATTTACCGAAGGAGGAAAATAGCCGTAAATTTGCTTCCATAGCTCCCATCGCCTCCAGATTTCACCTACAGTTCCTGTTTGATAGATGGTAAATGAATATTTCTCATCGCGGCCCGTCAATAACTCTGGAACACAATGAAGCCAACACTCTACGAAATCGCATTGGTAGCAACACGACCTAAACCACTACAGCGACATAGAAAAAAAGGTACACAAACGAAGCCAGGGAAGGCGTTTTTATTTGTTTTCTACAGTGAAAAATTTGCCGGCTAACAATGTGAAATTCGAAGTGAGTGAGGCACTTTGACAGAACATTGTCACTATCAATACAAAAATTAACGCGAACCACTTTCTGTTATCCCTGTGTGTTATCATTTTTTAAAGAAATTATAACTGCAAAACTGAATGTTTGGATTTACTTTTACGCGGATAGCCATTCAAAAGTTGATGGCATTAGTACATCGGCCAAAGCATCCAGCGTAATGAAAAACCGGACTTTGAATGTTATAGAAGGTTATAGATAAATAATCAGGTCTGTGCTATATTGTCAAACCCTCGACATTGAACCCAAAAAGATATCTGAATCGAGAAGACTACATAAATTATCTTCCTCGCTGTAGCAAAAACGTTTGTGATATGAAGTGCGATCATGTTAGCGGAAATTTAACCAAATCGGGGAGGAACAAATTATATGTAGATCGGAGCCGACTGAGCGGCGGAATTCGAGCCTACAGCAAAGAGTAAAACAACAAATCCAGAAAAAAAAAAAGATATTACCCTCGACCCGCGACCCGCGACCCGCGACCCTCGACCCTCGACATGGCACCCTCGACCCTCGACCCTCGATTAAAAGATAGACTCGTTCATGACGAGTTAGGGCTCATCACTTAAGAAAGATTTGACAGTTGCTTTTAATTTTGAAACATTATGAACAAGCACGAAGAATACGAAAAGTATTTTTTGGGAAGAAACTCAGAAAATTACGAACTTTAGCAATAACGTATGCTTTAAACTAAAACTATATTCTTCTTAATGTTCTCGGTTTTTGAGAGAATAAACCAGTAACAAAAATTACGGTTGTGAGCGTAATTTGTCACCCACGATATTAAAAGGTAATCAAATGGGTTTTTTTCGTGAAATTAGGAAATAATTTCACTCGTCACCATTCGATTACACTTACAACTACTCTAATTGATTTTTCCTAATGTAAAGAATAAAAATATCAGTGTCATAGATTTCTTAACCTTGCCAAAGGCAAGGCGGAGATATTATAAACTAGACGCTTTGCTGCGTGTACCCAGGCAGTCGTTATACTGAGAAGCACTAGCTATGTTGCGATTGAGCTAAATGTTCTGCAACTGATGTTTTACGAAATTCAATCGAATCGATGTGCTCAAGCTATCCACAGTAGGAAAAAAGATGGCGGATGCGCATTTTATCACAAGGCCTTGCGAACCTAACACAGCCTAAAAGGCACAAAAAAAAAAAAGTTTTTACAATATATTTCCCTGTACTAAGGACATTAAGTAGCCTAGGTTTGAAGATTTTACAACGTTTCTGTACGTTTTTATGAACGTTGTTAAGGTTTTCGTGTGCTAAGAACCATGGGTAAATGTACCAGTCGCCATCTTTTTTCCTACGGAGGATTCTGCCTTTGATTGCATTTCCTGGAATCGATTAATAGCTTATTACTCGTTCGCAGGTCTTTAGGGCGTAAAATGAGTCAAGGTCCTTATATCAGCCTATAAACGTTTCAGTCTATTTTCCTTAGCCTTTGTCGTTGTTGCTGTTGTTGTTTTTTGCGTTTTTCGAGCAAACGAGACACGAACGCGTTTGTCGAAAAACATCTACTTATCTGGTGAGTTTAGCCCATTCAGAAGTTGAAGTATTAGGAAAAGTTCTTATGTAAATGCTTATTTGTTCATTACCGCGGACGGTACACCAACGTTAACATGGCGGCTCCATACTGGGCTCTGTAAATTTGTACAAAATATTTCGACGAACATCTGAGGTCTGGGAAAACGCACAGACTTAAAAATTAGAGAAGTGTCATCTTTATTAATCTCCTATAACATCACAATTTCTTGACTTTATCCACTGAATGGTTTTCGAATGATTTTTTATTGCGTCAGGATTGCGTGACAGTACATGCAAGCCAAGAATTGTTTTGCTGGGGTCAAAATACATTAATTTCTTTCAGCTTAAATGGGCAATAATTCGCTACACGGGTTTCATTCTTGTAAAGACACATAACTCTGTTACAAGAAAATAACGAAAGAATATCGTTTAGTTCGAGATTTTAACTTTAAAGCCAATCTGTTCTGCTGACATTATTTTCTTGTAGTTTGAATATGACCGACGTCGGTTCAAACAACAAACAGTAGATGGAGCAAGCCTTATGTCTACCGTGGCCGATAAAGTTGGAAACAAATTTAAGGAAAGATTCAGCGTTGTGAGAAAACTGAGGACAGCTGCCCAAGCTTCGTATGCCAGGTCTCAGTCCTCCTCGTCTCAATGGCAATGCTGTAAAACGGGTGACACTTCCAACAGCTTGGAGTACGATTCTAGGTTTCGTCAGAAAATCGACCTAACCAAAGGATGCATTGCTATATCCGGCAGTGCTCCGTCGAACCACAGATACTTGGACGACACGTTTGTTGACGAAATGAGACAGATTCTTATTGACCAACCGTTTATAAAGTGGCAATATTTTGGTTCTGAAGAAGGAATTCTGATTAACTTTCCAGCTTTTCAACTAAGTGATGATTGTTCTGGCTATGATCCTCGGTTCAGGCCATGGTACGTGGAAACTGCCATACCTGAGCCCAACGACGTGGTTCTTGTTATTGACACGAGCGGATCCATGAGTGGGAATCGCATCGAAGTAGCTAAAGATGCTGCTGTAACAGTTCTAAAAACATTGAACCCCAGGGACAGGGTAAGTATTTAACATTAAACAACTGTTCACTATCCTAATGCTTGGTCCAGAATTTAAGAGAAAGCATACAGGCTATGGCAGGCATCGATTTGCTCTGTTCTTTTAAAAGTGAATCTCGTTCCCACAAAAGAGGGAAATAAAAAGTTTTGGTTACTTATCTCTCTCGTCATTTTGGGTCATCTTATATCTAGGATTCATTTTGGTGTATACGCGACGGGATAATCCGTTACTGTCCCAACCACCATCTACACCACCACTGCAGTTTCCCTACGCTTTAGTATCATCCCCGTCGCCATCAGCCCTCTATCCCCCATCGCCACTATCAGGCACCATCATCACCATCACTTGAATTTACCCATTACTGTTACTATTATCATTACCATCACCGCCGCCACCACCACCGCCATATGAATATATACTCATCCCAATCGACCATAACTATTGTCATCACCAAGATTTCTACCACTGATGACGTTGCCTATCTGACTTCTACAACCACCCCCCTTACCAGTACAGCCACCACTACTACTAACACCCCTCCACCACTAACACAACCGCCATGAACACCACCATCACTAACACTTCTATGGACACTCCAACCACCACCACCACCGACATCATCGTGTTGATGATTTGCTCAGTATGTTTTTTTTATATATGTTTATATATATAATTTCCTTTCAAGATTGGCGTTGTGTCGTTCAGTAACACTGTAGAAACGCCAGGGAGTAGCAGCGATGATGGCAAATCCTGCTATAGTGAGGGCCTGGCTGACGCTACACCTATAAATCTTGAATACCTTCAAGATTACGTCAAATCTCTCTACGCTAATGGTACGTCTGTTGGCTTGGAATTTTTTCTCGGTCATGTCTTCGTGTGCTGATTAGCGAGCAGCAAGTTATGGGTATGAAATTTTGGGTAGATATGGTTGTTAAAAACCAGTAACGCCACTTCTATTTGGCTGGTGTGCCTCATAAAGAGTTATATGTAGAGCCTATCACTGAGAAATGCCGGGTTGAGACTTGCGCTGGGGTCTTTAACCCCGTAACCCTGAATGCCATCGAAGTTAAAGCTAATAAGAATGAGTTACAATTTAAAATTTAGTAATTTTCCAACATTATGATAACTAGACGCCCTAAGAGCGTTTACTCGGGCTTCGTACCGCAGTATTAAATCGCACTTTACGAAAACGCGTATTGGACACAATAAAAAACAAATCAAAGAATCAGGATATTTTAACGCAAGAGTTCTGCCTAGATATTTATAATTCAAGTTGCTTCGTTGAGTATCCTCTTCATCCTATCGCAAGTTGTGAGTTTAAACCATTTTGGTTCAAGAATGAAGCACAGCTTTCTACGCATTGATGAAGAACTTGTTTGCAAAGAATTTTCGAGGTCTTATTACAACTTATGGCGATTACATTGTATATGCTAACAGAAGTTGTGCGAAGTTCGTTGACTGGTCGTGGCGATCCGAGTAAATTGTGGAGCTGAACATCTTTGCCGTGTTGCGATCTTAAACCCTTTTCAAGAGTCATATCTCATTTGGAGGGTGAATACATAAACTCCTTCACGAAAACGACAGCCTCGTGACAACGCGCAAATTGCATTGCACAGAATTTGCGACCCTGACCCGCAGTTTATGAAAAAATATTTAACATACATAGTTTTATTGAATCAAGGCAGGAGTATTTTAAAAAGGAACTCATTTATAAGGGGAGATGCGGCATTATGTTTTGCTATTTAATTTGGTTTCATACTCGTCTAGGTCATGTCACGCAACATGATTTTCTTAGGCAGTCAGACACAGTTTTCCAAAAGAATTGGTGATTGCTAAGACTGCTGAATATATTTGAACTACTAGTGCATTGAAACCTAACGTATAAATAAAGTTGGCCAAACTATCGTCAATGCAGATTTTCCCTAGGACTTGGCAAGAACATTGGTTCGTCAATAACATAATCCCGCACAATTCCCCTCATAATAAAAAGTTTTACTTTTCCCCGCACAATTTGCCTCCGAAATCATACGTTTTTTTTTTTTCCTGCATCCTACTAGAAAGCCAACTAACTTGGAGGTACGATATTTAATTCAAGTTACCGAAAGTCTCATCTTTACAAATTTGGAGGTCGACATATTTCGCGCGGTGCAAGAAACAAGTCGCATGTTTTTAACGAGCTACCAGTCCAAAAACGTTTTCGTATTTAGCTCGTTTTATTGCAGTATGATTTGTTTTACTGCAATTTTCTTAATAATAACAGCAGTAGCCACATGCAGTCATTGACTGCCTATTTTTTGTCACTGTTTTCGTAGTTTAAACTCATATCGCGATCGGCTCAGTTGTTATCTCACGAGAACGTTTCGAGCTTGACCTTTGCTTACCTGGCTGGTTTTCAAGCAATATAATTCGTGGACCGACCCTTTCCGATAACGATCGACATCTTTGTATGCGAGATGAACGTATAAGGCGCGATTCTCACCAAAACTTTCTTCGCAAAACACCGCGTTCTGTCACGAAGAGCGAGTTTCCATGGTCTACGCGTGGAACGCTTGGGAACATGACCCCCCTTTTGGCGACAAAAACGATTGCATTCTATGACTCGGGATTTCCTACGAAAGCTCATTGGCGTTCGTCAGCCTTAATGGAATCTCACAAGGACACCATAAAACACAAAGTTTCGGTCAGGGAAAGGGCTACTTCATATTCCAGACTTAAGTGGGACGATAGAACATTGGTCTAGCTCGTTTCCATTACACAGAGTTCGACTTTGTTTCCGTCAATCCAAAACACAAAATGAGTTCAAGCAACTAATAATTTTGACCTGCAACGAGATGATCATTTGTAATCGTTCTCTTTTGCTTCTTGTAACAGGAGGAACACAGTACGGGAATACGTTCATTAGAGCTTTTGACTTGCTGAAAGGCTCAGGTTCTTCTCTTCAAAACAACTTTCGGAGACAAAAGGTTATCCTGTTCCTTACCGATGGCGAACCAAATGATGACAAAAGCCATATCATGCGAATTATCAAAGACAAGAACGCAGAGCTAAACAATAGCGTTATAATTATGACGTATGGTATGTTTGTCAATGCACCGATACTCCTGGACATTGCTAATCAAGATGGCACTTCTTACGGAGTCTCTAAGGCGCCTGATGTAACTGTAAGTGAATATTTATGTTCCTGTACATCGTGAGTAACTGCTTTGTCCATATAAACAGTATAAAGCTACAGGTAATCAGCCAACCAGCTAGTACTATTCCTTCGATCATTCATTTATTCCATCTTTCCTTACTTATTTACTTCCATCCTTCATACACTCAGTCAGTCAGCCTGCCAGCCATTGAGTCAGTCCGTCAGCAAGCCATCCTGCCAGTTAGTCGGCCAGGTTGTCGGTCGATCTGTCAGTAGGTCCGTCAGTACGTCGTTCAGTCAGTACGACTCATTGGAGGTGGATTTAGCTAGATAGATTTTGTTAAAAAGTCCATTTATCATCTTAATACTGACGTTTTCCAGAATGTGTCCTATTCTTTAGTAGACAAAGCGAATATTTTTTTTTCATATTTTTTCCTAAATATGCAAACTAGAATGCTGTCAAATGTATAAATTTATGCATGAGTTATTATTTCTTTATGTAATTGTCCAAATGGAGCCTCGGTGGTCCAACGGTTAGTGTGCCAACTCTGGATGGCATGCTGTGGATTCTTTTGTCTTGAACGGCCAGAAGCTTTATCGCCACAGTGCCTCTTTTCTTCAACTTGCATGAATAGGTATCGGCAATTTAATTTTGGTAGGAAACCCTGCAGTGGTTTAGTATTCCATCCAAGAGGGTGTAGAAATACTTTAATGGAAACCGGGTAAATGCAAAGCACGCCCCAGTGGGTACACGTTAGGTTTCAATGCAGATCTACCTTACCTTAGGCTAGCAGTAATGCAGAAGTAGCTCTTACTAATTAATGGTCCTAATGCTCTTTTTTACCAGCATGGTAAATTTACAAGTATTTCAAATACAAACAATTTGCGGAGCACCATGGCAACCTACTACGACTTCTTTTCAAGGAATGTGGAGAAGGACAAGCCTATCATCTCAGTTCCTTACGTTGATGCATTTGGCAGCGGTAATAACTTACATTTACTGATTTTTTTTTTCTACTGTCTCAGAATACACAAAGCTTACTTTTCTTGATAAATGCTTATTTTTATGAGGTGCATTAAATTCACTATTGAATAGTCATTCCCAGTTTCCCTAATCGTCCCATACGAAACATCATTAGTCTGTATTTTGATCACATTAGAAGAAGAGACACTAGAAATGACACACACAATGCCACCAAAAGCAGACAATACTGATCAAATAGATAAATGGTATATTTGAGCAATGCTTGGCCTAGACGGGACGAGACAAATCTAATATATTTCGTACTCCACATAACTGTATTTGGGCCACAAATGTTTTTTTTTTTCTGTAGATAGGCCTTCTCGCCTACTTCAATATATCATTCAACATAATACCTTGCAGGCCTTCTGACCACAGTATCACTGCCCTGCTACCATGATGGAAAGTTCATCGGTGTTGTTGGCACAGACCTCAGTATGGAAGATCTTCTGTCAGAAGTCACTTACTTTCGAAACGGCCAAGCAAGTTACGCTTTCATGGCAGACAATTCTGGTAGGACCATGATGCACCCTCTTCTACCATCCCCTTCTAATACAGGCGACAATCCCATTTTCATGGACATCAGGGACCTTGAGCCTGCTCCGTCTTTCACTTCAGAAGTGTTTCAGTCCATGAAAAGGTGTGTGGTCTGATGCATGGTAAATAGTAAGGTGTACAGCATTCGTTGGACAGTGAAGTCTTAAGCCACCATGAGATTTCTTCCAAGACACGTTATTTATCGAACAAATGAACGCTCAATGCTTTAGTCAAAATAAAATGCGTTTCAAATATCAGCAAAGGGATCACTCGCCTTGCAAAAAGCGATCCTGAGCGGCTTGGCTACGCCTCTGTCATTCAACTGAATAGTAAAGCTGCACTTTTAAGACAGGAAACTGGGTGTTCTCTTTTTCTTTTAGGGAAGGACGCCCTAGGCCTGGGTCTTTTCTTGTGTTGTACTAATCCAGACCCTGTAATTGCGTCCCTAATTTTTGTCTCCTATTCATACCTTGACATCGTATCATTTAGAAAGTAAACAGAAAACGAGCTTAATGATAGCACAGAAGAACGAAAACATGAGGTAAATGTTCATTTTATTCTACTTCTGTAGAGGTGGATCAGGTCAAACAACTTTTGTATCCAAGCGATATCTGGCCCGTGGAGGCAAAGTTTACGCAGGAGTGACAGTTGTCGAGTTAAATTCGACTTACTATTGGAGACCAGTTAAAAAAACAAACTTTACTGTGGCAATTGTGGTAGCTGCCGATGACAAATCAGAGATATTATGGAAACAGTCAATCCCGTCAGGTATGAGAAAAAAACAAATAGAGGGGAAGAGAGCATGACAGGCTGCCAACCAGAAATATGTACGAAATAATTACATGAAAATATATTCTTTCATTCGATAAACCCTGACTTACACGGCTGGAAGGCGTATTTAGTTAGTGTCTTACGTTTAGGACATCGGGAGCATGAACCAATTTTCGTGATGTTAGCGAGTTTGAGAGCTGTAAAACTATCCTCGATGGAAAACTGAAGAGTCACGTGAGTCTGTCCGCTCCCAAACGACAAAGACACATTGGGACCCGTACAATGATTAAAAACTACACTAGGAGCTTCATACTAATGTTTTTTTCGTCAGATTTCCAGTTTTTATATCACCGCTTGGACCTGATAAAACCTTCCTATCCATGTGACAACTTTGGAAGATACGCAGTTAAAGGTAAGCACCACTCTGAAGCAACAGCACAGTTATCTCAAATGAGAGCATGAAAAAGTACAGCTATTAGCGATAATAGTAAAACAGGTAGCTTGGCGAAATAAGTCTGCAACCAAGCTAAGGAATTCCATTACTTTTATGGCGTTCATGTTTTGCCGCTTTTACTTGTTATTGTTAGGCGTGACGGTTGTGAAATTTGGCCCAGATGCATTCAATGACCCATACAGATATCTCAGTCTTGAAGAAACGGTCTCTCAAGTCAACTCTTACAAAGTATATATGACCGGAAAAAGAGGAGAAAATCCCGGTTTTAAAGATGGTGTAAGAGATAGTGTTATAGCAACTAAGAAGGTGGAAGACATTTGGTTCAAACTGACGAAGAAATACAGTCAGTATCTGGTGTGGCGTTACATGGGTACTGCAGATGGTGTCTTCAGACTGACGCCTGGAGTGGTACTGGCTAAAAGCTATGATCCAAGTAAAAGGCCGTGGTAAGAATATTATTAAGAATATTTTCGGTCTAAGTGTATGAGCGCCTTCAAAGACGCACAGCTTACCGACATCCTTTTACTGGAAAGTAACGAGATTCGACTTTGCAAAATCTGGCTGCTTGAAACTCCATATTAATTGCTGTCGATTGCATAGGAATGGGACTTAAGTAACTTGGAACAGTTAGGGTGTTTTTCTTATATGTCTACAATTACGCCTCTTAACTTTAAGTAAATTTACCTTGTACTAGAAGTCGTGCAGAGGGCTTCCAAATGCAGGTTTTTTTCGAGTGGACCGCCTTGATGTAATTCCACGCAAACACCCATTCATTACGTACATGACACCGCCACACAATGGAATCTGTAAGACAAGTTTCAGAATTTACAGCGTGGAATTGCCATTTGCGTAATTTTACTACGTATTCACGAACACTTTTTTCATATCCCGTGGGACATGGTTAAACCAAATTTGTACAATTGTGCGTGTTAAATATAACTTAGATGGACCGTCTTTCGATAATGCATGACGATCGACAGACAAGCCTTTCGACCAACATTGGACGAATAACTGGATTTTTACCAGGTATCACTCTGCACTAAGCAACACGGGATTGGTTGCCCTCTCTACGCCTTACATTGACGCGTTTGGTGCAGGAGTGGTAATTACCGCTTCCCACACGGTGTATCGCGGGGAATCAGAGCACAAACGTGGAACAAGTGATGAAGTTATGGGTGTAATGGGCGCTGATTTCCCACTGTCATATTTTCAAAAGTAAGTATAAATGATGCTTTACACTACCAAACCGTTTGAATGACTATGACTACTAATTAACAATTAGATTATGGGCTCGAGATTTCTATTTAAATAGTAAAGCGTTTCTGTCGAGGAACTATCGGCTGATAGTTGCCCCGCGGAAATTTGATGTTCTTAAAAACAAATATTTCGCTTCGAGGGCAGATGTGCTAGTTTTAAGAACATGGAATTTCCAAGGGACAACTATCAGACCGATAGTTCCGAGACATAAACACTCTATTGTCTTTATTGTTCACCACTAAATTTTCTTCCGCGCGCCAGTTCAAAATTCATATTGAATTATTTTCAACTTTTTTAGATAAAAGCCGTGAAAGGTCGTTAAAGCCAATTGTAAAATTTGAAAAAGAAAACAGACAAAAACCCACTTAATACATTTCTATTGTTTATTTTCTGTAAGCCCGCTTCTTTACAGAAACATTTTCACGGACGAGTACTATCCATCCGGGTATTTTCCTCGAACGGGCACTATGGGCTAATAGTGTCTCTCCGCGGGTGGACACTATCGCGTCACGTGATCAATTTAAGGTGGCTCCCTATAGTTTTACGATCGCGTGAGCGCTGAGGAAGTAATCTGCGCGCGCTCAAAGGAAAACGTCAGTGTTTTTCGATATTTTATTACGTCAACATGAGCACAAAAAGCAAAACTGACAGTGAATTTTCTTAGGTTTCCTTCAGTGAAATTCCGTAAAATTTGGCAGATTGGTGGTAAACATTTTATTTTAGTCGGAGCTCGTTTTTCAGGGAAATCTATAAGACCAGATTTTTTGCAGCGGTAAAAGACATAAATTTGAAAACATATATATAAAAAAACCTGCCTTTACAAACCCTACTTTTTTCGTGTTTAAAATTCGCATCTCGCCGTATACAATGTACCGTAAAAATTTCGGAAAATTTCCCCGAAGGAAATTCAAGAAAATCACAGATAAAGCCCTAAAAACTGTAAACAACGCATTTGTTTGGGCATTATTTCATAATTCAACATTGAAAGCCAAGATTTTAACAGAGATGATAGTAAATCAACATATCATCATTGCTTATTACATTTAATAAGTTTGAAAGGACTGGGTGTAAAAACGAATGCAAAAACAGCATTCAAAACATAACCCCAGCGCGCGCAACGTGATAAATGATTACTCTATGGAGCCACCTTAAACCAATAAGAATCGGAGAAAATTTAGTGGTGAACTATAAGAGAGATAGTTGATTCGGCCTTCGGCCTCATCGACTGTCACCTCATAGAAATCGAGAGGGAATAATCTACTTGTTTTAGTAGAATTCCTACTGAAATTAACGCTAATAACGGTTTCCAATTATTTTCCTACGCAATTATTAATCTTAAAGTGCACCTAGCGCCCCAATTTTTTTTTTTTTTTCGCTAAAACGAATCTACTTGTTATTTGAAATACTTCTGCTAAAAAAAAAGAAAATTGGACTCGGTTAAATCCTCGATTTTCTGTGCCCCGACGAAATCTCGAAAATAGCTTTAAAACACCGCCATTTTGTTTCGCGACCGAGTTTGAGGAGAATGGGTCCAGCGGCTGTTGTGATGTCTACCCGTGAAGGTTGAATATTTCACGTCCTCTCATTTCCTTCAGGATGGTGCAGTGTACATTCGAAAAGTGCTCAGAAACGCCTTCCAGAAGTGCTATCAGCTGTTGCAGCAATATCCCAGATAAAAAGAAGATATACTGTACAATTTACTAGCGATGAGCGGTCAATGCTACAATAAAGACGTAAACGGTGGTTGATTTTGTCGAACCGAAACAAGCGAACTGAGTCCGTGAAAACCATTGAAGAACTCTCACGGGAATTGTTCCGCAGACTTTCAAACGTTATTTGCAAAATTTTCTGCTTAAAGCCAACCAGCAATTTGTAGAAGTACTACCAACAACCATATCTTCCAGTCCCGCAGTATTTATAACATAGCCGGCAAAGTTGTGTGATCAATCAAGAAGCGGTACAACCGATGTACTGATATGTAAATGTAGGTCGCAACTGTACGCCGTCAACCAACACTTATTTCTCTTTTGATTTAGATAAAAGTCGAAGATTAATCCTAAAGAATTACATGATAACAAAACTGTTAGACTTGCAGAGTTTTCGAAGGTTTGGAAATCAGCAGTGCTACAAACATTCTGTGCAATAGTTCGTACTCGTATTCTGTGCAATAGTGTGGAAAATAGGACCGCGTAACATTATCTGCGGACCGCAGAGGGAACACATCCTTTTCGCTTACCCGACGAATTTCACTGCAAACTTTGAGAAAAATTTACATTGGTTATTTGGAGTTACGACTTAAAACGTGTGACAATGTGAAATCGGTAATTGTATGAACTGTTTCCTTCTGCCTTTGCTTTCCGCAGCTTCAAAAATACAGGTCCAAAACAATTCTACGATTTTCAATCGATCGAAGCCAGTGTTTTGGAGGTCATCAAGTCTCGAAAACTGCAACTCTTACGTCGCTCTTATAAACATGAAGCATTCCAGAAAGTAAAACACAAACCGGATTTAATAGAACAACCATACCTTGACAAAATACATTCTCGCTAAGGACAAACGTAAACGGACTATAAACACGCGTGGTAATAACCGCGTGGGCTACAAACACGTGGTAATAAACGCGTGGGCTATAAACTCGCGTGTGTTTAGGTGACGAAATTACCAT